CGATTTAGCGGATCTCTCGATTTAACGGATAAATTTTCTGGAAAAAAATATCCGTTAAATCGAGACTCACTGTGTATAGGGATGGGCAATTTTAACATACAGTATAATACCTAGGGGTATGGGGGACAACTCAATGTAACACATATTGATAGATTTGTCAATTTCAAAGCTGTCACCCTATATAAATTCATAGTGTTTATTAGTAAATAAAAATAAAACGTGAAACATATATATACTACGAAAATTAAAGAATAAATAATAACTACTAGTAAAGAAATTTTTCATAAGTGAACAAAAATTTGGGTGGGTTTGACTGTATTATTGATTAAGGTAACAGAGTTTCAATATCAAGATTATTTATTGAACTATCATTTTCATTTAATTTAACTATTTCATCATTTAATATTCTGCTTGTATGATGTGCTAATGGTTTACTATTATTATTATTATTACTACTACCATCACTACCACTCTTACTACCACCAATAATATCATTGCTATTTTCATTAAAATTTTCACTTTTATAAAATTTATCAGCAAATCTAAAAAGCTCTACAGCAGTTGGTCTCTTTGTTGGATCTACATCCCAACACCTTTGCATTATTTGTGCATAATCATCAGGCATTCTTGCCAATGTTGATGGACGCAAACCTTCACATATATCTAACATTAAACGATGATTATGAACTCTATCATCAAATGGTGGATGGCCTGCAAATATTTCCCACATTAACATCCCAATACTATAAATATCTGTTTCCTTTGTGTTCTTTTTTCCTCTAAATAGCTCTGGTGCAAGATATGATACAATTCCATAAATTTTATTTGATGATTTCTCATCAACTGGTCCACATAACCCCAAATCTGTAATATAACAACCATCATCATGAATTAATATATTACCACTGTGTAGATCACAATGAATTAAATTTTTTTTGTGTATGATATATATTGAGTGACATAAATGTCTAAAAATATTAATTCTCTCTTTTAACGTTAAATTTGAATGATTTTTTTGCAAATGATTTCTTAAATTTCCTTGCAGATAATATTGAAGAACTATTGCATAATTTCCACTATCTGGGAATCTAGTTATACCAAAACAATTAACAATTAAATTTGACTTAATTTTACAATAATTCAATGCCTGTATTAATTATATAAATAAAATCAATTAATTTAAAATAAATGGTTTAATCTAATTTATTCTAAATAAGATCAATTACCTCATCAAAAAAAGATTTTCCTGGATTACTTGAGTCATTTAATAATTTTAATATTACATAATGAGCTCCCAAATAACTAAACTTTTTTTTATTTTCATCATAATCATAGATATATCCTCTTGTCCATGTAGCAGTATAAATTGAGCTAAATCCACCTTCTGTCAACTTTTTTATTTTTTTAAATTGCTCATAAGGTATCCATTCCATAATTTGAGTTGGAAGAGATGAAAGCTTTTGACATTTTTGAATAAAATTATCAATTATTTCATTTCCAGATGTCCAGGTACAAAAGAGACTCTGTAAATGAAGATAAATACACGTTTCACAAAATCTATCAGAGTATCTTGTCATTTTACACTCTTTACATTCTCTTGGTTCTCCTGATCTATCTAGTGCATTATTATATTCAAAAACATAAATAAAATTTTCTCTGCAACACTCTTTTTCATTTTCCAACAGCTCCTTGTTTTCTTCAACTAATTGTAAAAAATGACTTTTTTCATCTACACTGCAAGAATACATTTCATTATAAATTTTATATACCAATTCTTCTCTGCCTGGTGTTAATAAGTGTTCAAAATACATTTTATATCAAAATAGTATTTATGATAAGTTATATGATTTTTTTTTTACAAAAAAAAAAAAAAAAAATTAATAGCTTTGTATTTCTATTTATGTGGTAATTAATATTACTAGAAAAACAATAAATAATAATAATAATAAGTTTTGCATACCATATTTTCGAACTTCTGGTTCAAAATGATTGATTCTCACAATTATTTGTTATTGTTTATTTAATATTAATTGACAATCGTTTTACGAACAGCAGTAAATAGGTATAAAGTAGAAAAATACATTTCCAATAAAAAAAATATGACTACTTGAATTAGAGCGATCTTCTAAAACCCATTGTATTTTTTATTTCCACTTTAATCACCTTGTTTTACAATGACATTTCACAACATCACCTTCCTACTTCCAAAAAATACTATTTTTTTACTTCCTAGTTTGAAAATTAACAATATTTAAAGATGATGAATTTGATGATATGTTTCTAGGCTTAGAGTAGGACTAATCACATCGTAATATTTTAATTCTGGATCAATATCCGATTGCGCTATAAATGAAAAAACTTGAATATTTACTTCATTGTTGGTTATTAATATATAATAATGATTGTTTTTTTACATATTAAATGAAAATTATATCAGTTATTCAATTATTCAACTACTACAATTTGATTATTGAAAATTAATTTTTTAAAAAATATTTATTAAAAAAAAATGGAGTCAACAAGTTTACGAAAATGATGAGTGTAGTTATACTTGCTTTCAACTTAAAATATAATAATGATGGAAAAAAACAAAAATTTACGAAAAAGACAATGAATTAAGACAAGAAGAAGAAGCAGACGATGCATTAGAACAAAGAAAAGAAAGTAGTTTGTTTATTTGAAGAAAGATACAGCAACAGGAATATTCCGTAAAAGAAGTAGATTGGATGCAGAGCCAGATCTTGACGATCTTTGAAATGCTCAATGTACAGAGTCCAAAACCATTATCTATTAAGGAAGTAATTCATGGTCCTGAAAATCTATACAAGTCCCAATAAGTTTATATTCATCGTTTCTTCTCTTCATGCCTTTTGATCTAACATGCCTTCCAATTTAACTTGTGCAATTTTGTTCGTTTATATGTATATAGTCTGTCATGCTTAGGTGTTGGTGTAAAAGTTCATAAACCAGAATGGATTGAACAAAATGATTGAAGCATTGAATATCCAAATTCTAATTTGTAACCAATGTAGAAAATATCTCCTCAATGCGCTATTAGACACCGTAAGTGCAAATTGACCTTTATTATATTTATTTTTTTTTTTATTAATTGAGTATAAAAATGTCTTTGTAACGTCAAATTTCACCATGAAACCAGTCTCGAAATGGGATTTGAAACTAATGTCTTTACGTGTAGTTGTAAGTATATTGTTTTTTTGCAGAAATAATACCATTTATTTATTATCTTATCTTCTGTTTATTAACTTTGAAAGCGCAAAAAATGTATTCAACACTGCATCAGCTTTCCATAGAACGAAGCAATTTCGGACTCACTTGATTCATCCAATGTTACAGGATCTTGCAAACGCAGTGACTGGACATCATATTACTATTTATATACATCCATATGACATGCCAAATCAACATACGTTTTTTATACGTTTTTTCTTTGTAACATTAAAATGCAAATTGTTTTTCAAATATAGAGGCGAGATTTATCTTAAAGCCAGCGCATCTCAAACCTACAGGTCGATGGTTTTTGATAGGTGTGACCCCTTTAATGAATATTCATGAATATGATGAATATGATCATTAGGCATGATAGAATTGTCCAATGGCTATTGGACCTTTTACATGCCTCGTTATTTGAAAGACCACGTGAAAGGATATTGGAGCAGTCGTGAACTCCCTTAAAGATACACCTACAAAATTTAATCATGATGACTACGAAATTATGAGATGTTTGCATATGACTTTTTCACACACATGGTAAAGTTAATTGCTGAGCTCTTGTACTTGCTAAATAAATTATCTTGTTTGCAAATAGGACTAGATATACAAGTATGGGGAACAGGTTTACCTGTCTCGAAGGCTCATTAACAAATATGTAAATTATGTTTCTACTTGATTAATAGTAATAGTAATCTTTCCACAATCAACATTATATACACATTATGTATGTGATTTATTTCCTTTATTCCTAACTCCTTTACCTGAAGAGCTTGAAACTACTTACTATATTAATAGATTGATTAATTGATGAATTAATATTTAGCCTGCCGTTGTTGAAAAGTTTTGATGATAAATAATATTTGATTTTATTTTTTTAAATTGACAGACAATTAAATAATAATTTAAAAATCTTTAAACCGCAAAATTAATCGGTCATTGTCAAAATTTTATGATCTCATTAGCAACCCCCAAAGTTATTTATTTATAATTTGAAAATAGTAAAAAAGATTAACCAGAATTCTTTAAATGATTAATTTCCAAAAACACCAAATTTATCATCTTTCCTTCTGTAAATCTAATAACTCTCCTTGTTTCTAATATTTTAAAAAAGGGGGTGGAAAAATTAAAGTGAAAAAAAAATATATACATAATATTTATATACATTAATGCTAAAATCTTGAATTAACTACTATTAATTAAAACATTGATTTGTTTTTTGCATAAAATAATAATTATAAAATCATTTGGGGGTGCAGATTGAATTATTCTAAACTGTATCACTACCCGAAGACTCGGAACCAGAAGATGCCGAGCTTTGGCTATCCGAAGAATCATCATCAGAACTATCATTTGCCTCTATATTAGCTGAATTAAATAAAATATAAATAAGTTTAATAGAACCTTTTTTTTTTTTGAGAAAAAAAAAAATAAATATACCGTTAGAGGTTATGGATTTGTTGTCAAATTTAGCCAAAGTTTCTTCCAAAGCTTTTATTTGTTCTTCTTCACTTATCTGGTTTTTTCTTTTAGCAGGTATTTTTCGTTTTTTACGACCATTTGGTTCGGAAGTATTTGCCATTACAAAATTATAAATTTTTTTAGCAGTTTTAGTGTCAATAGACTCAATTTCTAACTCGTAACCACCTTCTTCAGGCATCAACGTTGCTCCACTCTGTTGTATCATACTAATGAGCGTAACCATGAGTTCTTGAGGAAGATATTCAATCCTTTTAGAAAGAAGGGCCTTTTGATCGGCAGTAAGTTCCTTATCATCATCTTCTTTAACAATGGTCTCAATCTCAGCTTTTGAAATTCGTCGACGTTTTGCTTTTGGCATTGCATCAGTCAATGCATCAGCATCAGACTTGGATTTGGATTTAGTGGGTTTTTTAGTAAGCTTTTTAGTAGGTTTTTTGTTTTTAGTTTTTCCTGATTTTCTATATTGATTCAGTTGGGATGATAAAGCAGCAAGATGTTTTTGCAAAGCTTTCAAATGTTTAGCTGAATAGAAATGAAAAAAGATTCTTATTAATATATTATTTAGTTATTTGTATAACATCAATAATTATTTTTTATGATGTAAATAATACCTTGTTCGCTTTCTTTGTCTGAGGCAGATTCTTCTTCTTCCTTGATTCCCTCCCGAACAGTTGGAGAAAGCTGTGGAATTGGTCTCTCTGCCCATTTTTTATCAAAAACCTTTTCTAGTTGTTTACCCATGTTATAAACATCAGTACCAGGAGCATTGAATTTGTAACAGTTGTCAAACATTAATCGAATGTCTGCTTCAAACTCTTCTGCAGAAGTGTATTCTTCTTTTTCCAATTTATTATAAATTGTGGAGAGATCCATGGGGTTTTTGATTATGTTAGGATATTCAGGAATGCCCAATTTCTCAGCGTCAACCGGCTCATAGAACGGGTAAGCATATGCAGAGTGTTGTCGTTTTTTCAATTCCAGATACACTGAGCGACAGAATTTAAGGTCGATATTTTTCTTGGTTTTTTTACGACGGGATGGTTGAGTGATTTGAGGAAGTTCTTTATTAGGGAACTTGATCATTCTTCTTGGTCTATTCGCTTCATTATTTTCGGCTTTTACAGCGGAAGAAGAAGCTGCAGAGGAAGAGGACGCAGCTTCCATAGTGGATTTGACGGTTTGTTTGCTTATTGGTTTGTTTGTTGATTTAGTAGAAGATTCTGCAACAGGTTTAGGTGCTGGTTTCTAGTCATTAATTATTAATTGTGTTGATTGTTAATTAGATCAAAAATAAGTTACATTAGTATAAATTAATAAATAAATTGATGTAAATATATATACTTTTTTTATTTATACGTAAATTATTAAATTTACCTCTTCTTTAATTACTGGAGCAGGCTTATCAACAGTGGTAATTTTAGCACCAGGCATTTTAGAAAGTTGTGCGGTGAATATTTCTTCTAAATCTTTAATGAATTTTGAAAACGGATGTCGTTCACCATTATAATCGATACAATTTGAGAATATGAGCCGAACGTCATTTATAAAATCATGGACACATTTGTAATCATAACCGTTAAGTTTTTTTTCAACTGTACTAAAGTCCATTGGCGTTTTTACAATATCAGGATAATCAGGAATATTAAGTTTAATCGGATCTACAGGTTCTAGGAAAGGTGCAGCAGACGGGTGACGTTTTAATATTTTGAGTGCACTTGTGCAATATTTATTGTGTTCCCTGGTCATCGCTTCATTAAACCAACTAGTGTTAAACCTATAATAATCAATAAAAACATTAAATAAATATTATATATATTGATAATGATTGATATTCTAAGATAAATTAATTTGCTTTGGCTAGAATTTAGAATATAATAAATAGAAGGCGATCAAATTAGAAACTAAATAAAAAACATGCTTTTGGTGACGTGCATATACGCAGATAACGAAAAATAATCATGTGTGTGAGATTTAATAGGACAATCATAAATTTTAAATAAGGTAATTGAAATAGATGTACAAAAAAATAACCAACGATGATAATATAGACTATTCGTTTGGTGCTATTCAATAAAATATTATACTTTGCATATTTTTCATTATTGTTAAAGCCTGATTGTTCTTGAGTGCTGTTGTTTTTCTTTGGTCGAGGCATGTTGAAAGATGGTGTTGACTTTATAAGAGAGAGAGAAAAAGGGAGGGAGAGAAAAAAGAAAGAGAAAATTATATTATATTATATTTTCTTGTGACGATTTAATAGAGATGTATATGAAATCAACTATTTACTGTTTTTTTCTATTCCAGAAAAGTTGCAAGAGATTTATTTTGAAAAAAAAAAAACTTTATTTTTAAATTTAAATTTTTTGATAAAAATCGTGTAACCGTCTGACGCAATTATTTGTAAAAAGGAAGATCATCACATCTTTTTTCTTTGGGAAAAAAAAATTTTTTTTTCTTTGAATTTCTTTACAAGTTGTTTATTATTTGAGGAAAATAAATCCAAATCAAGAAAGTATCCGCACGTACAAATATATATATATAACTAATAATAATATAAATTAATAATAATAAGTCTATTTGTATTTTTTTTTTTTTTCAAAAACTATTTAAATTGTTCATTAATAAATATATAAATATAAATTTGTTTTGAAAAATTAAAGAAAGAAAGAAAAAGGATGATATAGGTATAGATGATATATAGTCATTATCATTATTCATTATTATCATCAATTCCATCTTTAACATTATAATGCTTAAATCTATTATCTTCAAAGCCTTCATTGTCATCATTCTCAGCACTACTGCGATGATGGCTACCTTTTCTTTTCCTACTTGTAGATCTTGAAGCTAATCTTTTACTAACAGCAACACCGTCATCATCATAATCATCATATTTTTCTTTTAACTTTTCTGGATCTGATGATGAATCTCTACTTGTTGGTTTTGGTGTTGTAGATCGACCTCTCCTTGGTGATAAAGAATCAATCGAGGCATCAAGATTACCATTTGATGATGATAATAAATTGTTATTTGTAGATAAAGAGGGCTGACTTAATGATGATGATACTGATTGTGATAATGATGTAGGCGCTGAAACAGTACCATTTCTTAAGGATTTTCTTGATGGATTGAAATGATTACAGTTTTTACAATAATATTGAACATCATCGTAATCAGCTGCAAAAGCCAAACCATTCCAAGTATAACAATCCTTACAAATTAAAGCATATTTTTGTTCATCTTCACCAACAATTGCATCAACTAATTTATCATACCAATAACGCTGCTGATTTTGTGAATTATTAAGTTGATTAATTAATGGTAATGATGTTGATCTAGGTAATTGTTGATCATTATTACTACCATTAATTCCACCATGTGTGTGAGATTTAATAGGACAATCATAAATTTTAAATAAGGTAATTGAAATAGATGTACAAAAAAATAACCAACGATGATAATATAGACTATTCGTTTGGTGCTATTCAATAAAATATTATACTTTGCATATTTTTCATTATTGTTAAAGCCTGATTGTTCTTGAGTGCTGTTGTTTTTCTTTGGTCGAGGCATGTTGAAAGATGGTGTTGACTTTATAAGAGAGAGAGAAAAAGGGAGGGAGAGAAAAAAGAAAGAGAAAATTATATTATATTATATTTTCTTGTGACGATTTAATAGAGATGTATATGAAATCAACTATTTACTGTTTTTTTCTATTCCAGAAAAGTTGCAAGAGATTTATTTTGAAAAAAAAAAAACTTTATTTTTAAATTTAAATTTTTTGATAAAAATCGTGTAACCGTCTGACGCAATTATTTGTAAAAAGGAAGATCATCACATCTTTTTTCTTTGGGAAAAAAAAATTTTTTTTTCTTTGAATTTCTTTACAAGTTGTTTATTATTTGAGGAAAATAAATCCAAATCAAGAAAGTATCCGCACGTACAAATATATATATATATACATGGAAACAAACACTTTTTTGAATAAAAAAGAATTTCATAAATAATTTCATAAATATTATTAATAATAATAATAATAATAAATATAACAAAATCATGGGAATTGTAGTCTCTCGTTTCAAGTCACAAAAGGATGATAATTATGAAAAAATATTATCAGAACTTGATGACAACATTCGTAAAGCAGAAATATCCCTGGGTGAAATAAGAGTACGAGAGCGTAATGCATTAATAATCTGGATAGTCTATTCATTATTAGCATATATCGCATATGTGATAGGATATTGGTACTTTATTTACATGTCTAATGAGGGAGAAAATTGGGACTTTATGAAGGTGGCGCCTGTTTTAACAGGGCCTTTTTTCATAGTGATTGGTTATAGGTTTCTTGCTTTGTGGTATAGAAGAAAAGAAGCCAATGAAATATCTCAGCTTGAAAGTTTAAGGGCCCAACAAAGTCTTAAAGTGGAAGAATTGAAAAAGAAAACTGGTTATTACACAACTAAAACTTTGTTAGAAAGATATGATTCACCAACAAGACTTCCAACAAATCAACAGCCAATGTCTCCTGGTCAAAAAAATCCATTAACAACAACGACACCTGGTAGTCTAAAACCTGGTACACCAAATTCTTTGCGTCAACGCTTACCACCACCACCACCATCACCATTAAACAACAACAACAACAACAATGGTGGAATTAATGGTAGTAATAATGATCAACAATTACCTAGATCAACATCATTACCATTAATTAATCAACTTAATAATTCACAAAATCAGCAGCGTTATTGGTATGATAAATTAGTTGATGCAATTGTTGGTGAAGATGAACAAAAATATGCTTTAATTTGTAAGGATTGTTATACTTGGAATGGTTTGGCTTTTGCAGCTGATTACGATGATGTTCAATATTATTGTAAAAACTGTAATCATTTCAATCCATCAAGAAAATCCTTAAGAAATGGTACTGTTTCAGCGCCTACATCATTATCACAATCAGTATCATCATCATTAAGTCAGCCCTCTTTATCTACAAATAACAATTTATTATCATCATCAAATGGTAATCTTGATGCCTCGATTGATTCTTTATCACCAAGGAGAGGTCGATCTACAACACCAAAACAAACAAGTAGAGATTCATCATCAGATCCAGAAAAGTTAAAAGAAAAATATGATGATTATGATGATGACGGTGTTGCTGTTAGTAAAAGATTAGCTTCAAGATCTACAAGTAGGAAAAGAAAAGGTAGCCATCATCGCAGTAGTGCTGAGAATGATGACAATGAAGGCTTTGAAGATAATAGATTTAAGCATTATAATGTTAAAGATGGAATTGATGATAATAATGAATAATGATAATGACTATATATCATCTATACCTATATCATCCTTTTTCTTTCTTTCTTTAATTTTTCAAAACAAATTTATATTTATTTTATTTCTTAAAGCTAAATTATAAATAATGTTTTGAATAATAAACTTTTTGATTCTTGCTCAATTGTGGGTCATTTCGGTTAATCAACAATGATGGCCTGACTTTTGGGCTACTCTTGTCAGTTAATTAGTTTACAAATTTACTTTGGTCTCCTCTTTCTTGCACCTAGACGAATCTGTGAGCGCACTTAATGGTACCAGATAACTATAAATAAATAAAGATGGCCTTTTACAAAGCTCAATGGCTTCTATAAAGTTCCTTTTATTCACTTGTGATCGATTTCTTTGTTTGCATTTATTGAACTCGCTTTGGTTTACTTGCAAAACAACTCAAGTAGCTTGTTTAACAGCCATATGTTTACAATTACAGTAACACTACCAGTATTTCCTATTAGCCTTTGGACGATGCTTCATTAACACTCGCCAGTTAACCAACGCTAATCCTAACTTTTGCTTACTCACTAAAGCAAATCATGTTACGAATAGTTGTTAATACTCACTAGTTAACCAACGTTAAACCTAACCTTACTTGCTTGCTCACTAAAGCAAATAAACGTGGCTTTTTACCAAAGCTCCACAATTGTCATACTCGTTGTTTTTATCAAAGCGCTTTGAAAAATGAAAATAAAGACAATGTTTTTATTTAACGATTAATTTTATTTAATAAAATAATGATTCTATTAGAATGTTAATTATCCTCTGCGAGGACCTTAATGGAAATTTCATTGATCAATACAATAAGGATAAAGATTATTGCAAAGTAACTTAATCAATAAACATTGATATTATAAAAACTTCCATAATTATTTACACTAAAGTTATTTAACCCTGGAACATAAAGTATCGAATCCCTGATCGATGATTTTATCTAACCCGATCATGTATTCAGAAAAAACAAAGGAGAGATTGGGATACGCAAGAAAAATATAAAAAAGACCTTGGAATATATATTTACAAGTTTTTTTTGTAAGCTTTTATATTTTATTAGCCTTTAAAGCAATTTTACTTGCG